CTTACCATGGCAACACTCTGACACAGAACAGAAAGAGCTTACAAGAAATGCACCCAGTGATGGTGCATGTCTAAAGACACCATAGGACCACCAAGGCTTTCAGTGTCACCCCTCACTGCCCAAAGGTAAGAAGAAGGAGGGGGAATATAACATTTATTATCCAATGTATAATTATTTTAAAAATTAAAAGATGCAGGTTTACAGTGGGAGAGGATGAAAAGCAGTCTCAGAGCATCATCGAGCCACCACCATGCTTAAATATAGGCTAAATATTCTTTTCAGCGTATGCTTCAATATTTGTCTTCCAGACATACTGCTAGTCCATTGTCCAAAAAGTTCCAGTTTTGTTTCATCGTTCTACAGAACACAATCCCTAAACTTCTGTGGCTTATTTATATGATTTTTAGCATATTGGAGCCAACGTTTCTTGTTCTTTGGGTCAGAAGTGCTGTACATCTTGGAATTTTGGCATGGAAAACTTCTGTGTTTAGTATTCACCTTACTGTGCTAACTGAAACCTTGGTGTCTGTTGCCACCAAGTCTTGCAGTTTTCCTTCTCAGAAATCTGGTTGTAGCCATTGATAGCTTCCTTGTTGCTGCACCATCCATCCAGTGTAACCACTGTTCCTTCATTTCTGAACTATGATACCAACGGTGTCTCGAGGAACATTCAGTGCCTTCACTATCTTTTTGTATCCTGATCCTTGTTTGTGAAGGGTGATGATCTATTTTCTCTCAACAAACCCCTATACAGTACAGGTATTTCCAGTGCTCCAGCTCAAGCACACCTGGTGCAACCAGAGGCATACCTAGAAACATCTGGACCCCGATGTAAAAATTGTCCTGCCCCCCATTTGTCTTATTCTCCACCCACCCAGCCTCTCCCTTGTGTTTCATTCCCACCCAGCCTCTCCATGTGTCTCATTCTCCCTGCAGCCCCTCCATGTGTCTCATTTTCCCCCAAGCTCCTTTGTGTGTTTTGTCCCCCCAGATCCTTCATTTGACTCCTTCTCCCAGCCCCTTCATGTATCACATTCTCCTCCCAGCTCCTCCATGTGTCTCATCCCCCCATATTGTCCTTGTAACTAATTTTCCCCAAGCTCCTTTATGTGTTTCGTCCCCCCAGATCCTTCATGTGTCTCCTTTTCCCAGCCCCTCCATGTATCACATTCTCCTCCCAGCTCCTCCATGTGTCTCATCCCCCCAGATCATCCTTGTGACTCATTCTCCTCCTCCCAGCTCCTCCATGTGTCTTATATCCCATGTGTCTCATCTCCAGCCCCTCCATGTGTTTCATCTAACAAAGATTCTCACCCACCCAGCCTCTCTGTGTCTCATCCTCCCATACACCTCCTCTATGTGCTATGTGTCTTATTATCTTCCTCCCAGTCCCCTCATGTATCTTATCCTGCCTCCTTGTGACTAATTCTCCTCCTCTCAGCTCCTCCATGTCTCTAATCATCTAATGTGTCTTATCCTCCATGTGTCTCAATCCCCTCCATGTGTCTCATTCCTCACCCCTGCCCCTGCAGGTCTCTCATCCCCCCAGTCCATCTGTGTGTTTCATTCCTACCTCCGCCCCTCCAAGTGTCTCATCCCCCAGCCCCTCCATGTCTGTTATTCCTCCATCTCAGGTGTCTAATTCACCCCTCTAGCCCCTTCATGTGTCTAATCTACCCCCCTTTTCCTCCATGTGCCTAATGTCCCAACACTCCAACATGTGCCTAACTCCCCCCTGCTGCGGATCCAGCCAAGCAGATCACGGTGGAGGCTCTTTTGCTTCCAGTACTCAGTCTGACAGGAAGTGCTCATTGCTCTCACTGAGAGCACATCATGTCAGACCACAGTCCACTTAGCCACGTTACCTGCAGTGACTGGCTGGAGGAAAGCACTGTGCTGGAGCTATGCACTGTCTCCGAAGTTAGGCTGGCAGACACACCAGTCACACCACAATCTATCCTTCCATGAACAAACAGCATTAAAAGAACTGAAAAAAACGACACTATCATCATAAAACCAGCAGACAAAGGGTGAGGTCTTGTCATCCTCCCAAAAGATATGTATATTGAAGAGGCCCTCAGACAACTAACTGACCATAACGTATATGATAAATTACCCGCTGACCCAACCATTCTTATTAAAAAAAAAAACTCAGAACATTCATGACTACTTAAACATATCCTTTCCAAAAATCCCTGTGATAAATTTCTCACAGAAAATACATCAAAACCAAGAAAAAACCCCAGGTAGGCCCATTGTCCCTGGGATAGGTTCTATACTGTCTAACGTATCCGAATACGTTGGCATTTTATGACAACCATCAGTCAAATGAATGCAATCATATTTAAAAGACTCTATGACCCTCTTACGGTTTTTAAATGATTTTACCTGGGATCCCAATTACATTTTAGTCACCTGTGATGTACAATCATTATACAAAATTATCCCCCACCAGAAAGGCTGTGAATCATTTTTTTCAATTCTAAAGGAAGGTAAATCTATCCCCGACAACCAAATCGATTTTATCATACAAGGTATCAAGCTAATTTTAAACAATAATTATTTTTGGTTTTTAGATTCTTTTTACATTCAAAAACAGGGGACGGCGATGGGGACCAGATTTGCCCCCAGCTATGCAAACCTCTTTATGGCACAATGGGAATCCCAGGCCATTTGGGGCAGACATAACTGGCGGGCAAATCTGATACAATACTTCAGATACATAGATGACCTCTTCTTTATATGGAAATAAATTACAGCCTTTGAACTGTTTAGAATAATCTTTGGGCATAGTTCACGCCCACACATTCATTTCCCCTCCTTCCCCTACAGCAGCATCAGCTGTACACACCTCCTGGCCGTCTGCATTATTACCACGCCCCCGGCCGATCGCCACGCCCATCCTGTCTATCCCTGCTTACTCTCTCCCACCAGTATGCCATCCTTGTTTGTGAAGGGTGTCCCCCCTGCACACTACATTTCCCAATACCCTTAGCGGCACGTCACATGATCGGTCCGTTTTCCAAAATGGAAGCCGATCAAGTGACCAACTAAAATACAATTTTTACCCTATTTATAACCCTCATTTTAATTCCAAACTTTAGGGGAAGCTTCCCTGACTTCTACTGTATATATACATATAGTTTATTATGTATTTTATAAATGCACCTTACTTGATGACGTATTTTAGGCGCCAAACCTCATTTACTGTTTAAAATCAGTCCCCCTATATAAACCCTACCCTACCAAGCATGTTTTTTATCTCCACTTGATAAAGCCACTATAGGTGAAACGCGTTGTGGGTATTTTATATATTTTACTCTGTATTCTAAATAAAGGTATTTTGGCTACTTTTAAATCACTCTGATTGTGCCATTTTACTCTTTTATTTATTTTTAAATTTTGCTTGGTATCCTGATTTTATCTCTCCTGCTGAGTATTACTCCAAAGATATCCGAGGTGGGAATTATACCACTCACGCCTGAGTCATTGAGCAGTCCGCCTGCTCAATCCTATGTGAGTACACATTTTATTAGTTATACTCCTTATGAGTTTTTATATAATGAGCACTATTAGTTGTCTCTCTTCTGCCTTATGATCTACATATCAGCAAAAGACTTAACCCTCTACACGCATCCTACAAGTGGGGATTTTACCGCTGTGCGCTATTCATACTAGAGCTGGCTTAAACTCTACTAAACGTGAGTAGGACTGTATTAGACTCTGTTGTTATATACACCATCTTTACCAGACGTACTGTCCTATCATCTGTCTTTCTCTTCCATATACGGAGTAAAAGACCAATACTTCTCTACGTATTCTCTAGCGGGGATTGTACCGCTGTATGCCATCCACACTAGAGCTAGTTCAGCTCTACTACACATGAGTAGGATTACTATAGATCTCTTTCTTGCATATAAACCCTCGTATCAGACGTATCTGCACTATTGTTTGTTTCTTTCTTTACATACGGATCCTGTAAAACCATCTTCAAGCGACCCTTAGAGAGAATACTCCTCCACATAGGCTGTCGTTGCCTCATCAGGCCCAACTAAAGACTTTGTTTTGGCACCACTTACCCTTTGGACTTTGTTCATTTCAGCTGCACTTTAGCCAGCTTTGGCGCAACCTTCTTCTGTTTTGTCTTGTATATTACCTTTGTTCATAGGGTTTAGAGGGAACCCTATTTTTAGGTTGCTGCTTCTTATTTTATCTATTTATAGGATTGGTCTATTTTAGCACTGTTTCCTTCTTTCTACATTTCTATTTGACGCCAGTCGCAGGGGTCAACAGGGTAACGGGTCTCCCTGGCGTGACAGGACCGGTCACAGCTGCAGCCCCTGCAACCTCGGTATGTACGCCACTGAGTGCAACTAATTAGCCCTTCATTGGGACCTGTACTTGACACAACACCTGTTTTGCATATGTTTGATTTTGGGAACTCATTATAAGTTGCATTTTCAGTTAAATTTGGGGAAACCACTTGAAGCATTCGTTGTATTTAACTATTTCAATTGCTTTTGTTTGATTTGTGCATTGCAAACAGCTGGAAGTCTGTAAATGTTTGCAATAAATGTGATTTTCAATAGGGGTTGAATTATTTTGATTACAACTGTACATTGTATCAGGGATGATGTAATTCTGTTGCCTTGAGGATACAACCTTGAATCCAGTCACTGCATCTTGTGGAATTTAATTAAGTTAAGTAATTATAATATACTCTACCTGAGGACAATTGTGCAGTTTACCAAATGCCAGAGAGTTTAATCTATCATAATGTAATTGATTTGGAAAGGAACATGCAAACTCTAGTTTCAGTGTAAAATTCAGCATGCATATTTGAAGAGTTAAATTAAGAAACATGTCGATATTATTTTAATGATCTAGATATGCATGCTGTATTCTTACTATGTAGAATGCTTACATATCTATAATGTAACTCATACATTTCCAAATTAAAATTTAATCAAGGTAGGACACAATGTAAAATGATTGTAATAATTGCTCACTATTTATTATTTCTAATTCAGTAAATGTACAACACAAAACAAGCTTCGGTCCAGACGTTTGACTTTATTTCACTGCATTCAACATTTAACAACTGTAAAATAGTATTCATTGCACATTACACATATAGCATAACACACACAATTAAGTGGTAAAAAAAATAAAACTATGTCAAAATGCTGAACATGCTCATGACTTACTAAATATTTGAAGGTGTTTCTGCAGTCTGGCAGTGGTTATATATTAAGAATATCACTTGAAATGCATGACAATTTTCTTATGTAAAAAAAATAGTTTGTTCAGGGAAAATTATACATTAAGACAACTTTCATTTACACAACTTAATTTTGTCATTTATTTGTTCATCATTAAAACATAATTTTGAAAAGTTAAAAAAAAGTGTTATTGAATATATAATATTCTTTTTTTTTGGAACACTAAAGGACTGCAGACATTTTTGCCATTTTGGCACATACAATAGGTGTTTAAACAAACACAAGTTGGAACCCGAAGGGCAAAGGAACAAATGATGCCTTCATATTGCTTTAGATTCTCAAAAATGATGCCAGAATGCAAAGCAAATGTTTGCATATTGTGTAAATGCATGCACAGCATAAGTACAATTATATGTTTAAAGGTAGTCATCTGCACTATGCAGAGAATTGTAGGCGTCTGATTTTCTAAAACTTGGAGCTTAGTAAACACCTTTTCTTTTTGCGCCATAGATACACTAGCTTCCACTGCTCTGTGCATCTCCTGGTCTTTATGTTTTCAATGACCCCACTAATAAAAGATTTAAGGGAGAGCAGATAAAATGCTGAAATTAACGAATTGTTGAAAATGTCACTTTATGTGCCATATCACAATTATGCTCTTTTTTTCACATTGCAGTTTGTGTTTTCATTTTAAAGCATTTAACTCATGTTACATTGAATTCATTGAATTGTAGTAATTGCACTGAACTGCTACATAAGATAAAAGCAAACACATCTTCTTGTACTATAGTCATTTAAAAAACACTGTCTCGTATTTTTGGGGATCAAGTCCTTATTCATTCTTATCAGTCATTTGGCATAATGAAAAACATTCTTAAATTGTGTGATGTCATTTACATTTTTAATTAATTTCAATTTGTTTTATGTATTATTTTTTTTTTGTTTCACTCGAAATGCAGTATGAAATTAAGATGCCATCCAGTTATGCTATACAGGGATTTAATAAGCCTTTAGTTTTAAATAATTACACGGATACAAATGCTTTTTTATATACTATTCTTGAAGTTTAAAACAAAGACACAATATATTAATTTTAAGATTAATTGATGTGTTCTGTTTTAAAATTTCTTATTTGCTTAAAATATAATAAAGTATTGTATAAGAAAAAATACTTAATACTTAAATACTTAATCTAAAACCATAAAATATGTATTAAAACAAATATTAATATAAAATATTTAATATAATTAAAACAAATTATAATATAAAATATTGCAATCTAATTCATATTAAATATATATTCCAAATGCACTGATTGCCAAATTAAAGGTTTCTTGTTATGTAAGTTATCCAATAAGTTTGTATAAACTATTTTATTAAAACTTTTATATATTATCAAGATTTGCATTACACCTTCCATAATAAACTATTTTAAAGATAAAACTGTGTATATATATATATATATATATATATATATATATATATATAAAAATATATATATATATATATATATATATATATATATTGTTATTGAAGTAATGGATTGAGAAGGCCTTTGGTGTTTGTAATTCTTGCAATTTATTTGCTGCATTCTCACACTTCAAAATCAGTGGTGTACTCTGCTTACTGAATGGAAATTTCCCCATGGACGTTAATAGTGGAATTACTATTCAGTATACAGAGACGATCCATATTCTGCAAAGAGAATCCAGCCCTGTATTGCTACATTTGGTAGTTTGTACACCTGCAAAATATTTTGAATATTGTAAAATCAGATTTTGTCACCAGATAAATTCATCTGACCATCTAGTCTGTCTAATATCTATCTAATATCAAATATGTAATTCTTTATTTTGTTTCCAACTCAGAATAATCTTAACTGTTCAGAACCCCAGGGGTGCCAGATAAAATATTTCTTTACACATGCTGTACTGTCTTGTGCACAAGATATAGTGTACAGGTTTTAAAAAAATAAATTAAAAAAATTACTACTTTGTGCACTTGAATTATTTATTTAGTGTGCACAAAATAGTTAAAGCGTATGTATGATTTAACAATCTCATGGGCATGATCTCCTAAATGTACAGGGTACAAGGTGCACACAATGTAAGAGTTTCTTATCAGGCAGCTCTGGGACTTTGTATTACTGCATATTAAGATTTAGAATGAAAAAACCTCTCTGCTTGAAGGCTATTCCAAGAATTTCCAGTGCTTACTATAAAACACCTCTCACACCACACTAATATTTCTCACTCAAACTTCAGGTCCTGTCCTCCTTTGAGAAAAAAAAATATTTTTATAATCTTGTATTTTGTTACATAATAGAGAGACATTCATATATTTCTATCTTATCAATTCTACCATTTTCTGCTACTCTAAATTATACATATTTAGGACCATCTTAAAATGTTTTAGTAGCAATTATATTACTTTTTCTAGTGTAGCTATGTAAAATGTTATGCTTAAATGTTTTAAAGCGTAAAGTAAAAGAATATTCACATAATTAAATTAGGTAAAAAATTAATAGTTCTACTCAGAAATTTTAGATGAAACAGCCTTCTAAGTTAATGAAAAATGTGAAATGCTATCTCTGATCTATAGTAAATGTATATGTATATGGATATGGATGTATAAGTGAATATGGATGTTTGTTGCGAGCTATGAGTATGTGAACATATGTGAACATATATACATTTATGGCACACTGTGTGCAAACAAGGATATACTTATCTCTTATGTGCTGCAAGCACACAGCTTAAAATGCAAGTAAAAAAAATATAAAAATAAAATTATGGAGGGCTATATGTAGACAAACGGTGGAGAATAAAAGTATTTTGGTTGTGCAGGGGCATTGCTGGTGCCCAAATACACCTGGGGCTGGAGCCTAAATCAAAAACACTGATGTCCTATTATTTAAGATTTACGAACTTGTTTTTGTTCTGAGACTAGCATCAACAAATACACTTAACTACCCACTGATGCATGTGTACAAAGAAGAAATCACATGCATGCAAACATACATTTATACAGACACAAGCACACAAACATATGTACAAACAGAGAGAGAAAGAATGAGAGAGACACATACACACAAAATAATGCACTTACAAATATACATATAGTGATGTATTTATGTTGTTGGCTGTCTTAGGCCAAGCTAAATTGATTCATCATCCCCATCCCCAATTACACCACACTCACTATAACAAGATAAGCCACTCGTGCCACCAACCAAGCATGTTGTGCACACATACACATGTATAACCATATTGTTTTGGAAATACGTACACAAAAACAAAACACACAAACATATGTATACAAACAGCCAGAAAATATACAAATACATACATACACATCACATGCAACCCCCATTCCTTCCCTTGTTCCCATCTAATATAACACCTTATTTCAATTTCATTGCCTCTTATTCTCATGCCATCATATTTCATTGTCCATTCCTTTTCTTCTTGCTATCTCCTTTTCCTGCTGGTATAGTGGTAGCCTGTGCACCGTGCATTAGTAGTTTTGGCCTGTTCTCTCACTTCATGCTGCTGCCACTGCTCCTGTTAACCTCAGGTTAAAAGGAGTGGATATCATATCCACCCATCCTGAATTAGATGGGGCTTCTGGTGGTATGAACTACACAGAAAAAGTGAGAACTGTATAAGGTCAGAGAATCAGCTTCCTCCCTGCTTCTCCCACACAACATGTATATGAGGGCTACAATGTGTCCTGCATTCCCATTGGGGAGTAATATCTGTTATCACTGACATTCAGGCACAAGTACACAAATGCTTCTACATAATATACATACAGTTAGACTATTGCTTTTTAAAAAGAAAAGAAAAAAGTTAATGCGTAATATATTATAATATACAATAATTTTATAGTTGCATACCTCTCAACATTTCAAATGGACAAAAAGGATCACTTCAATTTTTTGGGAAGGAGGGTGTAAGTGGTTGTGTGGCCATGGGCAGGGCTGTTCATCGAAATGTTAGGTGACTTACTAATAATAATTTAAATAACTAAAATGTAATTTAGAAAAAGAAAAATGTGTATTATTTACAGAGACTGATTTCTAAACACATTTATTGTAGGTTAAAGAAATATTGCTGTGAGTATAATTGCTGTGTACCTCTCTTATACAATCAGAAACATCAACAATTTGGAGCTTCTAGAAAAGACAGACATTAGAGTAGAAAATCGTGAGTGTCCATCCTAAATAGGAACACTTGGAAGGTATGTAAATGAAAGTGAAGATCAGATGATATCTCTTTTGTTTGATACCTGAAAAATATAAAACGTATTTAAATTAAATTGACATGTAATATTTAGACTTTTTATGCAACTCACTTTCATTAAATTATTTGATAAAATGAATAAAACATTTGCACCCACGGGAAGGTTATTTAATTTTTAATTATAGATCTGTTGGATGAGTTCCAGATTTCTCATTATAAAATGCAAGCATGCACATAAGGTACCAATAAGAAGGACATCTGAGTTTTATTTGGATTTACATCTACAGATAGATACTCTGGAAGGCCATACGCCTTCCTCAAGAGATGGGTTTTAAGGTACTTCTTAAACGATTGAAGACTAGAGGAGAGTCTGATGGTAGTAGGCAGGCTATTCCATAGGAAGGGAGCAGCTCGCGAGAAGTCCTGCAAGCGTGAGTTGGCCATACGGGTGTGAGCAGCGGACAGCAAGAGAAGGTCACGGGCACAGCGGAGAGACAGTAAAGGCACATACCTATGGATCTGTGATGAGATATAAGAGGGGCTAGAATTGTTCAATGCTTCATAGGTATGGGTTAGTACTTTAGGATACAGGAAGCCAATGTAAGGACTGCCAGAGGGGTGAGGTGTGAGAGGACTGACTAGAGAGGAAAATCAGTCTGGCAACTATAGCAGGGCAATACGGCTTTTGGGAAGATCCATTAGGAGAGGGTTACAATAACAGGTTAGTATTATGCAGGGTGTTGTAATTTTTAAAAAACAACAATTAAAAAACAAACTACAGCTAGTCTGTTACCAGGTAACCCCAGACAAAAAATGTACATGTGCCACATTTCACATTTGAAGGAAGTAAAGAAACAAACAAATGCCATATCAAGAGGTTTGGGACCCACTGAAAAACTGTACATTGTTTTACCTCTGGAGAAAATGTGGAGTTCCCCGATCTCAAGAAGTCCTTATCGTCTCTGATTTTTCTAATTACTCTTATACTTTCTATAATTTAATTTATTTTTATTCAAAATCTACAAGTCTCATTCTAAGAAGGTCAACTTCCAATCAGCAAAGTGGAACGTGGATTTGCTTGATAAACATTGATGGGGCTTTCAATAAGACTTGTTCCTTAACTCTTGAAGTAATTAAGATACTTATTTTGCAATGGTGACTATACGAAGCAGAGTAGCAATTGGGTCTGATCCTCTGAAACTCTAGAGAATCACAGCCCCCCAGAACCACTGTTTTTAGTGACACAGCATGGAAATAAGACAAGCAAAAGAGAATTTTGCATTATACAGAAGACCGCTTTACTTTCTATAAACTTTAAACAGATAATTTTGAGATATTTGTGTATTTTCATAATCTTTTTGTGTTAACGTATTTTATATTTCTTCATCTTGTAGAACATGTTATTGACTTCAAATATGCTGGTTATCTAAAAGAAACAATCTATATTTGCTGAGGGCTTTTTTTGATCGGGATCCTGTTGGAAAAAGCCCTCAGGTGAAATGTGTCTCGGACAGTCAAGGACCACGCAGGACTTTACTGGTATTATACTGATTTTAAAAGTGTTTATTATTATTTGATAATCCAATACAGTGTATTAACTTGATAAAGAAGTCCAGTGGATTCTTGCTGATTCCTGCTCCTGGGTACATCAGGGCACATGTCAATATATATTGGACATACTTGAAAACGAGAGAAATCTCAATGTATCTTTCCTGGTAAAATATTTTATAAATAAATAATAAAAATAAATAATTAATATAAATATACATATAACTTTTCAACTGTAGGGTAATAGCTTCTTGATCCAAGGAAAAATCTGACTGCCATTCTGGGGTCAAGAGGGAATTTTTTTCTTAGTTTGTTGCAAAATTGAAAGTGCCTCAAACTTGGTTTTTTTGCCTTCTTTTGGATCAACAGCAACAAAAAACAAATGTAAGGAAGGCTGAACTTGATTTACACATGTCTCTTTTCATGTAACTAACTA